AGTTAGCAAAGTATGTTTCCAGTGTTCAATTTCAACAATCTTCTGTGCCGAAAGACACCTTCACAAAAGAGCCAAGGAATCCAGCTGAGAAGCTACAGCCGTTGAATGTAGCACAGAAATAAGAAAAGAAGGCCGGGCCTGGTGGCTCACGTCTGTAATCCCAGCACTTTGGGAGGCCGAGGCGGGTGGCTCACCTGAGGTCAGGAGTTTGAGACCAGCCTGACCAACAAGGAGAAGCTTCATCTCTACTAAAAATACAAAAACTATCCAGGTGTGGTGCGTGCCTGTAATCCCAGCTACTGGGATTAGAGGCTGAGGCAGGAGAATCGCTTAAACCCGGGAGGTGGAGGTTGCGGTGAGCTGAGATGGCACCATTGCACTCCAGCCTGGGCAACAAGCTGGGCCAGACGAGTGAAACTCTGTCTCAAAAAAAGAAATAAGAAAAGATGTACTGAAGAGGGTAGGAAGATTTCACTTTAGCTGCATCATCCCCTCCCGGAACCCAAGGGAGCATAGAGAGAGACACCTACTGCATGGGGAGCAGTGAGTAAAGTTAGTAGCCAATTGCACTGCAGACCTGAGCCTCAGTTCCCATGTAGTGAACACTGATATCGGGCTGCCCCAACAGACCCAGGCTCCAGGCACATCTCATTACCAGTCTGGCTCCCCCAGCCTCAGGCTCCAGCCCTGCCCTCGTCTCAGGCAGGACCCCATGGCTCCAGGCCCCAGGCTGGCGCACACACACTCTAGCTCCGGACTTGCCTCCAGGCTAGATTGGCCCCCGTGAACCCAAGAACCAGGCCCATCCTCACAGACTTTATTTTGTGTTGTTTTTTTGAGACAGTCTCACTCAGTCACCCAGGCTAGAGTGTAGTGTCATGATCTTGGCTCACTGCAACCTCCACTTCCTGGGTTCAAGTGATCCTCCTGCCTCAGCCTACTGAGTAGCTGGGATTACAGATGTGCGCCACCACACCTGGCTAATTTTTGTATTTTTAGTAGAGACAGGGTTTCACCATGTTGGCCAGGCTGGTCTTGAACTCCTGACCTCAAGCGGTCCACCTGCCTCGGCCTCCCAAAGTGCTAGGATTACAGGTGTGAGCCACCACGCCTGGCCTATTCCTTTACTTTCTTAATAAACTTACTTACTTTTTTTTTTAAGTTTATTTTCTGCTCACACAACATGCAGATCAACAAGAAGCCGGGCCAAGGGTGGCAGCGGTGGCAGCTCGCTACGGCCAGGCTGGGCTCTGTGGTGTCCCCATAACCATGGCTGGCTGGTGGGACGGCTCCTGTGAGGAGGTCAGCGGGGGCGGTGTGGGCAAGTCAGCATTCACCATCCGACTTGCCTATTTTCACCATCCAACATTCACCATCTGACAGTCACCCAAAGTCCTATTTTGTAACGGGCTATGATCCAACCACTGAAGATTCTGATGTAAAGCAGTGTGTGTTAGATAGAGCAGCCTGGCTAGAGCTTTTGGACAAGAAGAGTTTGGAGCCAGGGAAGAACAATATATGAGGACTGGTAAGGGCTTTTTGCTGGTCTTTGCAATCACAGATAGAGGCAGTTTTGTTTTCTTTTGTGTTTGTTTGTTTTGTTTTTGAGACAAAGTCTTACTCTGTTGACCAGGCTGGAGTGCTGTGGCGCGATCTCAGTTCACTGCAACCTCCACTGCCAGGGTTCAAACGATTTTCCTGCCTCAGCCCGCTGAGCAGCTGGAATTACAGACACATGCCACCACACCTGGCTAATTTTGTTTTTTTTAGTAGAGACGGGGTTTCACCATGTTCGCCAGGCTGGTCTTGAACTCCTGACCTCAGGTGATCCGCCCATCTCAGCCTCCCAAAGTGCTGGGATTATAAGCGTGAGTCATCGTGCCCCACCTAGAGGCAGCTTTGAAGAAATCTATACGTTTCTAAGACAGATTCTCAGAATAAAGGATCATGATGAATTTCCAATGATTTTAATTGGTCATAAAGCAGATCTGGATCATCAAAGACAGGAACACAGGAAGAAGGATGGCAGTTAGCACGGCAACTTGAGGCAACATTCATGGAGGCAGCAGCAAAGATGAGGATGAATGCAGATCAAGCTTTTCATGAATTTGTCTGGGTTATCAGGAAATTTCAAGAGCAGGAGTGTCCTTCACCAGAACCAACACAGAAAGAAAAAAGATGGGGTGTGGTGGCTCATGCCTGTAATCCCAGCACTTAGGGGAGCAGAGATGGGCGGATCACCTGAGGTCAGGAGTTCGAGACCAGCCTGGCTAACATGGTGAAATCTCGTCTCTACCAAAAATACAAAAATTAGCCGGGCCTGGTGGCAGGGCCGTAATCCCAGCTACTCAGGAGGCTGAGGCAGGAGAATCACCTGGGTGGAGGTTGTAGTGAGCCGAGATGGCGCCACTGCACTCCAGCTTGGGCGACAAGAGAGAAACTCTGTCCCAAAAAATAAGAGTCCTTTTCTAGACTCCCTTCAGTTTTAGTTACCAACTGCCAGGAAAAGCCCTCACCTTCTCTTCCTCGCCTCAGTTTCCATCTTGTTAGTATCTTTCTAGCCTTAGACAAATGATCACCAGATTAGCTTTAGACTCAGAAGCTCGCTAGCCCTTTCCTTGCAGCTAATACGATGGTCATTTCCAGACAAATGTAAAGGAAACACCAACGCTGCTTCAAAGGTGATCCGATTCCTTTAAAATAAATGAATAAATAAAATAAAACACGGACACATCCTTTTTTTTTTAAGTGCTTGCATTTTAATAAAGATGAATTAGTTTTGGAATCTAAGCTGTTTGCCAAGCTGAAGCCACAGGTCGCGAAATAATTTTTAACTTCTGGAATCATACTGCCTACTGTTACTCTCAATAGAAACATAGGGTTTTTTTTTTTTTTTTAAGGTGAATTTTTGCCTGTCTTTAAAAATCAATGTCAGCCTTTGTTACCTTTAAATACACTGAATTGAATCTACGAAAGAGAAACATCTCAGACCTTTACTGATACTACAGCGTTTGTTTTCTGGTGGCCAAAATACCAAAATGCTTATTGTATTTATGGATTTAAAAACTGCTCATAAATGCCTGTGTTATTACTCCTACTCTTGAAGATGAATAATATTCTACGTGGTCAAATATTTGGACTCATTCAGGACGTATACATTTCAGTGTACTTGATTTTTTAATTTAACTGTTTTTCACAGCACACTAAGGGTAAAAAATGCACAATTTCTCTCTGTCTTCCTTTTCAAGTATTTCTGGATAAGAGATTTGAAAAACCAAAACTGTTTTTGTTTAATATAATATAAAATACAGAATTGATCTTTCCGGGGTCAGAGATTATTGTTTTTGCTAAATCCTTTTATACATTATTTTCTTAACAAACTAGTTAACGAGTATTTTTTAAACTTTGTAAGCAGATATGCTTTCACAGCATACCTTGTGTCTATGTAAAGATAAGTATTTAATTCTCACTGCTTATTTTTTTTTTTTTTTTGAGGTGGTGTTTCACTCTGTCACCCAGGCAGGAGTGCAATGGCATGATCTCAGATCACTGCAACCTCCACCTCCTGGGTTCAAGTGATTCTCCTGCCTCGGCCTCCTGAGTAGCTGGGATTACAGGTGTGTACCACCATAACTGGCTAATTTTTTTGTATTTTTAGTAGAGACGGGGGTTTCTCCATGTTGGTTGGCTGGTCTTGAACTCCTGACCTCAGATGATCCACACGCCTTGGCCTCCGAAAGTGCTGGAATTATAGGTGCGAGCCACTGCACCCGGCCTACTGTTCACTTTTTTTTTTTTTTTTTTTTTTTTTGAGACAGAGTCTCTCTCTGTTGCCCAGGCTCGAGTGCAGTGGCACAATCTCAACTCACCACAACCTCTGTCTCCCTGGTTCAAGCGATTCTTCTGCCTCAGCCTCTCAAGTAGCTGGGATTACAGGTGCACGCCATCATGCCCGGCTACTTTTTTTGCATTTTTAGTAGAGGTGGGGTATCACCATATTGGCAAGGCTGGTCTCGAACTCCTGACCTTGTGATCCGTCCGCCTTGGCCTCCCAAAGTGCTGGCATTACAGGCATGAGTCACCACACCTGGCCTAAGTGTAAGCTTTCAATGGACAATTAGTATAACTGTGGATGGCATCTGATTTTGTTTTTAATTCTGTGGATTGTGTTTAAGCAATTCAGTAGTACGTTCCTGATTTTGAGATGCTGAGTGGTATTGCACAGCTGTCACTTTATCAAGTGTGTACAACAGTCCCATGAAGTTTGTAGAGCATACCCTTGCATAGCTTCAGGTGCTAGAATTAAAATTCATCTGTTATCACACACACACACACACACGCACACACACACACACAATCAGCCATGTGGACTCAAGATCCAGGTCCATCCCAGTGGATCCAGGCACCAGGTCAGCCTCTGTGGAACCAGGTGCCAAGCCTCCCCCCTTGCTGACATAGGCACCAGACAATCCCTCTCAAGGACTCCAGCAAGAAGTTCACCAGCAACTCCCCACTAAACCACCTATCTAGAATTTCTAGATAGACTGATAAACTGCTTTCCCTGCTAAAGCCAGCATGTAAAGACTGGAAGAGGTGACTACTTCAAATGCACAGACACTAATGCAAGGCCATTAGGATCATGAATAATCAGAGGAACATGACAGCACCAAAAGAACAAAATAAAGTACCAAGAAACTGACACAAAAGAGGTGGAGATCTATGAACTCCCGATGAAGAATTCAAAACAATCAACTTTTTAAAATTTATTTATTGTTTATTTTTAGAGACAGGGTCTTGCTATGTTGCCCAGGCTGGAGTGCAGTGGCTATTCACACTCTCGATCCCACTACTGATCAGCACGGGAGTTTTGACCTGCTCCATTTCCAACCCCTCCTTAGGCAACATGGTGTTCCCCCGCTCCCAGGAGGTCACCATATTGATGCCGAACTTAGTGCAGACACCCGATCGCATAGCGCACTACAGCCCAGAACTCCTGGGCTCGAGCGATCCTCCCACCTCAGCCTCCCCAGTTGCTGGGACTACAGGCACGGACCACTGCGCCTGGCCAAAATAATCATCTTAAGCTCAGTGAATTACAAGAGAACACAAATAGACAACTGAATGGAAGACAAAACATGAACAAAATGACAAATTCAACAAAAAGATAGAAACACTTTTTTAAAAAGGACTAAAGAAGTGGACTTCTGAGTCACGGCGGAGCAGGCTATCAAATGGAGGTGGGAAAGTTTGGCCCACCGGAATGATCACCAAGACATACAAGGTAGAACTGGGCCCTGGGATTCTAGAGAAGAAAAAGAAGAAAGTGGTAAGAACCAGAGACTCAATACTCAGTTTTAAACAAAGATGATTACTTTGCTGATGTTTTTCCTTTAAGAGCCATATCCTCCACTAAGAGTGTGGTCCACGGGCAGGCATCTGAGATGCCTCTAGCAAAGAAAAAGAAGAAGAAAAAGAAAGGTGTCAGCACCCTTTGTGAGGAGCATGTAGAACCTGAGACGACGCTGCATGCCAGACGGACAGAGAAATCATGCAGCCCCAGGAAGCAGGCACTTGGCCCCTTGGAGTTCCTCAGTGGGGAGAAGAGAAAGAAGAAGTCACCCCTGGCCATGTCCCATGCCTCTGCGGTGGAAACCTCCCCAGACCTCAGACAGGGTGAGGAGGAAAGCAGAGTAGGCAAGAAGCTCAAAAAACAGAAAAGGAAAAAAAGGGGGCCCAGGACCCCACAGACTTTTCAGTCCAGGACCTTTGGTTCTGCAAAGCCAGGGATGCCACGGACACTTGCTCAGTGGGGAAGGAGGGTGAGGAACAGGCGGGCTAGGGTAGAAACAGAAACAGAAGAGCTCCAGGGAACACGATGGGAAGGTGAAGAAGAAGAAAAAAATCCACCAGGAGGGAGATGCCCTCCCAGGCCACTCCGAGCCCTCCAGGTCCATGGAGATTAGCCCTAGGAGGAAGTAGAAAGAAGCCAGTCAAAGCTGAGGCTCCAGAATACATCCTCATAGGAGATGGCCTGAAGGCCCCCCGTGAAGAAAAAGATGACATCCAAGAGGAAGATAGAGCAGCCAGTCATCCAGGAGCTGGCTCTGAAAAGGAAGAAGAGGAAAGAGAGTGGGGTAGCAGGAGACCCTTGGAAGGAGGAAACAGACACGGACTTAGAGGTGGTGTTGGAAAGAAAGGCAACACAAGGAGTCTCGTCTCCTCAATTTTTTAGAATGGTTTCAGTAGGAATGGCACCAGCTCTGCTTTGTGCATCTGGTAGAATTTGGCTGTGAATTCATCGGCGAGGCACCTGTAGACCAGCTGAGGTGAAAGGCCTTGCAAGAAGAGATCGATCGTGAATCAGGCAAAACGTAACCTTCTGAAACCAGGAAGTGGTTCGGAACCCCAGTTTGGCCCATGGGATAATGCAGGTTTTGAGAACCAGGAACAGAAACTGAAATTTATCAGACTTATGGGTGGCTTCAAAAACCTTTCCCTGGCCAGGCGTGGTGGCTCACTCCTGTAATCCCAGCACTTTGGGAGGCTGAGACAGGTGGATCAGGAGGTCAGGAGTTCAAGACCAGCCTGTCCATTTCTAAAAAAAAAAAACAAAAACCTGTCCACTTCATTCAGCTGCCCACCTCCCCCACCGCCAGCACGATTACATGGCTCTCACAAGAAGGCAGTTGACAGCCTGCAGCAGAACCTGCAGCGGGACTGTGACCAGGCCAAGAGCTGGAAGTACAGCCACGGAGCCGGCCTCTGCTTCTCCAAGCCCCCAGCTTCTCCACCACCCCCAACAAATTCTTTTATATTGACAGGAACACTTCCAAGTCAGTCAAGCTGGAAGACTAAACTCTAGAGTTTTGTCCCCCCCCCCAAAACTGCCACAATCGCTTTGATTATCCCATGTATACTGGAGGTTACACATTTGTGTGTGTGTGTGTGAAAAATCAGATCTTGGTGATGACCTTGAGCAGTAGGATATAAACAACTCCCATAAGCTTAGCGTTCCAATAATGGAACACTAGGCATATATGGGTTATTCAGTTGTGCAGGTGAAAGCCACCTGACAGTTGGCTCACATTTAATAGCTGTGGAGGTTAAGGACAGGAACAATGATCTCGATGGGCTTGAATGAACTGGGGCGGGGCAGCTCGTGTTTCTCAAATCTCCTGGTTTGTGTATTAAACATTCCATCCCTGTTTGAGACATCAGTGTGTACAGATGAACTTGGTTGAGTGTTTAGCAGGTGCTAGGCACATGCTAGTGTTTTTTGTAATATATTTAATCTTCATAATTATGAAATGGGTGCTACTATTATCCCCATCTTATAGATAAGGCAACTGAGGTTCAGGGATAAAGTAATAAAATAAATTACCTGGGGTTACCCAGCCACAAAAACAAAACAACTAAAAAGAAATTCTGGAGCTAAAGAAAACAAGGACTGAACTGAAAGGCTTCATGGAGAGCTTCAACAGCAGATGTGACCAAGAAGGAAGAATCAGTGAGCTCAAAGGCAGGACATTTGAAATTATCCATTCAAAGGAGCAAAAATAAAAAAGAATGAATAATTCTGAAAAGGCTCAATAGGCTTATGAGATACCATTAAGTAAACCAATATACGCATTATGGAGGTGCTCCAAAAGGAGCAGAAAAGGTGAAAAGGAGAGAAAACTTGTTTACAAAAACAATGACAGAAAAATTCTGAGGCCAGGTGTGGTGGCTTATGCCTGTAATTCTGGCACTTTGGGAGGCTGAGGCGGGTGGGTTACTTGAGGTCAGGAGTTTGAGACCAGGCTGGTGAACTTGGTGAAACCCCATCTCTACCAAAAATACAGAAATTAGCTGGGGGTGGTGGTGCACACCAATAGTCCCAGGTACTTGGGAGACTGAGGCATGAGAATCACTTGAACTTGGGAGGTGGAGGTTGCAGTGAGCCAAGATTGTTCTACTGAACTCTAGCCTGGACAACAGAGTGAAACTCTGCCTCAAACAAAAACCAAAGCAAACTCCCAAAACCATAAAAATGTCCAAATCTGGAAAGGGAAAAATGAATATGAAGATCCATGAAGCCCGAATAACCCCAGACAGGGTTAAGATAAAGGGAACTTCATTGAGACACATTATAATAGAATTCTCAAAAATCAGAGAGAAAAAGAATTTGAAAGCAGCAAGAGAGAAGGAACTCATCACATACAAGAGAACCTCCTTTGCAGTATCAGAGGCTCAGCGGAAACATTGCAGGCCAGGAGAAAGTGGGATGATGTATTCAAAGTGCCAAAAGAAAAAAAACAGCAACTGTCCAGCAAGAATACTATAACAGCAAAGCTATCCTTCAGAAATATTAGAGACGCGATTTCACCGTGTTAGCCAGGATGGTCTCGATCTCCTGACCTCATGATCTGTCTGTCTTGGCCTCCCAAAGTGCTGGGATTATAGGCGTGAGCCACCGCACCCAGCCGTGGTGATGATTTTTTGGATTTGACACCAAAAGCACACAGAGCAAAAGCAAAAATAAACAAGTGGAATTGCAACAGACTAAAGAGCTTCTGCCAAGCAAAGGAAGCAACCAACAAAATTAAAAGGCAACTTATGGATTGGGAGAAAATATTTGTAAGCCATACATCTGATAAGGGGCTGATGCCCAAAATATATAAACACCTCATATAACTCAACAGCAACACAACAAGTAATTTAAAAATGGGCATATGACCTTAATAGACATTCCTCAAAAGAAGACATACAAAACAGGTGTATGAAAAGATGCTCATCATCAGTAATCATCAGGGAAATGCAAATTAAAACCACAGTGAGATATAATTGTGGTGGTCATTTCAGCATATAGGTATATCAAAACATCATATCTTCACCTTAAATATACATAATTTTTAGTTGTCAGTGATTCCTAAATAAAACTAGAGAAAATATGGGAAATAATAAGAGTTGGTGGAATGAGAAGTGGAACGAGAAGCATCAGAAATTCTCATATTTGGCTGATGGTGATAATATAGTAACCTACCTTCCTTCCTTCCTTCCTTCCTTCCTTCCTTCCTCCCTCCCTCCCTCCTTCCCTCCTTTCTTTCTTTGGCTCGTTCATTTGTTTGCTTTTGTGGAGACAGGGTCTCACTCTGCCACCCAGGCTGGAGTGCAGTGGCCCCATCATAGCTCACTGCAGCCTCGAACTCCCAGGCTCAAGTCCTCCCACCTTAGCCTCCTGAGTAGCTGGGACTACAAGCCCATGCCACCGTGCCAGGCTAATTTTTTTTGTAATTTTTTTGGTAGAGATAGGGTTTTGCCATGTTGCCCAGGCTGGTCTTGAACTCCTGGCCTCAAGTGATCCGCCTGCCTCGGCCTCCCAAAGTACTGGAATTACAGATGTAAGTCATTGCATCCAGCCATGATTTTAAGAAGGGTTTCTTTTCTCTAGCTTACTTAATTGTAAGAATACAGTATATAATACATGTAACATACAATATATGTGATAACAGGTTATGTTATCTGCAAGGCTTATGGTTAACAGTCGGCTGAGTTAGGTTTTTGGGGAGTCAAAAGTTATATGTGGACTTTTGACTGCTCAGGGGTTGGTGTCCCTAAGACCCCACATTGTTCAAAGGTCAACTGTCTATGGAATACTTCAATAAAATGTTTGCAAAACATCTCACTTTGACTGTTGTATGAAGAATGACCTGTAGGGGGAGCCAGTGGATACAGGAAGACAGGGTTGGAGGCTTTTGCAGATAAGAGACTCCGACAGATCAAACACACGTAAATTGAAAATTTCTAAAAGTATAGGAATAAAATGTATAATTTCCAAACTCAGAAGAAAAAACTAGAATAAGAAAAAAAATCCGAATCAAGGCAAGAAAGGAGAGAAACAGAAATACAGAAGAGAAGAGGCAAGTAATTCCTCCAAAAAATTCAGAATGTATCAGGAATTGCAGTTAATGCAGATGGTCCAAATCTGTGCTACTCCATACCGTGATACTCCGTGTCAATATCCAGATGTCACTATACGGTACCTGGAACGTAGCTCGGAACTGAAATGTGCTGTTGTGGCCGGGCATGGAGGTTCACATCCGTAATCCCAGCATTTTGGGAAGCCAAGGCGGGTGGACCACTTGAGGTCAGGAGTTTGAGACCAGCCTGGTCAACATGGGGAAAAACCATCTCTACCAAAAAACACAAAAATTAGCCAGGCGTGGTGCCACATGCCTGCAGTCCCAGCTGCTTGGGAGGCAGAGGCAGGAGAATCGCTTGAACCCAGGAGGCGGCTCACTTGCAGGTGAGCTGTGATTGCACCACTGCACTCCAGCCTGGGTGACTGAGTGAGGCCCTGTCTTGAAAAAAGAAAAGAAAAGAAACAAATGAAGCAAAAATGGAGGCCTGGCATAGTGGCTTATGCCTGTAATTCCAGCACTTTGAGAGGCCAAATCAGGAGGCTTGCTTGAACCCAGGAGTTTGGGATTAGACATAGTGAGCAAGGTCTCAGCCCCTCAGGGATGAGGATCTAGGTAACCCCACCAGGTGAGCCACCTATATCAACAGAAGGGCCACCTGAAGATGAAGGGACTCTAGAAGGGCCAGCTGGAGAGGGAGATGGCGAACACTCACAGGGGCTGCTAGATTCAGCTTCTGCAGTGGAAACTGGTTCATCCCACTAATCGTCATTTTCTGGCTAGCATAGAGAGCAAGAATCCTAAGTAGCTGTCCTCAAATGCAGTGAGTCTCTTTATAAAACTAATGAATCTGGGCGGGGTGCGGTGGTTCACGCCTGTAATCCCAGCACTTTGGGAGGCCAAGTTGGGAGGATCACCTGAGGTCGGGAGCTTGAGACCAGCCTGGCCAACATGGTGAAACTCCGTCTCTACTAAAAATACAAAAAATTAGCTGGGCGTGGTGGCAGGTGCATGTAATCCCAGCTACTCAGGAGGCTGAGGCAGAAGAATTGATTGAACCTGGGAGGTGGAGGTTGCAGTGAGCTGAGATCGTGCAACTGCATTCCAACCTAGGTGACAGTGAGACTTCATCTCAAAACAAAAACAAACAAAAAAACCCAAATGAATCCGAGCGGCATAGGGTGAGCGATAGTGGATGCTGTGCTGCCCAGCCCCACCACTGTCCTATTGCTATGGTAATTAAGTAACACACACTTAGTGGCTTAAAACAGTACAAATTGGCTGGGCACAGTGGCTCACATCTGCAGTCCCAGCACTTTGGGAGGCCGAGGTGGGAGTGTAGTGAGAAGCCAGGAGTTCAAGACCATCCTGGGCAACACAGTGATATCGCATCTCTACAAAAAATAAAAATAAAAAAAGTAGCCAGGCATGGTGGTGCACGCCTTTAGTCCCAGCACTTTGAGAGGCCAAGGTGGGAGGATTGCTTGAGCCAGGACTTTAAGACAGGCCAGAGCAACATAGCAAGACTCTGACTCTACAAAACAATTTAAAAATTAGTTGGATGCAGTGGCATGCACCTGTAGTCCCAGCAACTTGGGAGGCTGAGGTGGGAGGATTGTTTGAGCCCAAGAGTTTGAGGCTGCAGTGAGCTGCGATCGTGTCACTGCACTCCAGCCTGGATGACAGCCTGTCTCTTAACAAAAACAACAACACAAGTCTATTATTATTGTTATTATTATTATTATTTTTAAGACAGGGTTTCACCATGTTAGTCAGGCTGGTCTTGAACTCCTGACCTCAGGTGATCCACCCGCCTTGGCCTCCAAAGTGCTTAGATTACAGGCGTGAGCCACTACGCCCGGCCTTATTATTATTTTTTGAAACAGAGTTTCACTCTTGTTGCTGAGGCTGGAGTGCAATAGCACGATCTCGGCTCACTGCAACCTCTGCCTCCCTGGTTCAAGAGATTCTCCTGCCTCAGCCTCCCAAGTAGCTGGGATTACAGGCGCACACCAACACACCCGGCTAAATTTGTATTTTTAGTAGACTCGGGGTTTCTCCATATTGGTCAGGCTGGTCTTGAACTCCCAACTCAGGTGATCCGCCCAACTCAGCCTCCCAGAGTGCTGGGATTACAGACATGAGCCATCGCCACCGTGTCCAGCCACAGAAGTCTATTACCCTAAAGTTCCGGAGGCCAGAGTCCAAAGTCAGTTTCACCAGCCTTCTCCCTGTGATTTTTTTAAATTTTATTTTTAGAGACAGTGTCTTTGTCACCCAGGCTGCTGGAGTGCAGTGGTATGATCATAGCTCACTGCAGCCTCGAACCCCTGAGTTCAAGCAGTTCTCCCGCCTCGGACTCCCAAAGTGCTGGGATTACATGAGCCACCACGCCCTTTGCCTTTATAGGATGGTCCCTTTTTCTGTGTCCATGTCCTAATCTCCTCTTTTTTTTTTTTTGGAGATGGAATTTCGCTCCTGTTGCCCAGGCTGGAGTGCAATGGCATGATCTCGGCTCACTGCAACCTCCACTTTCCGGTTTCAAGCGATTCTCCTGCTTCAGCCTCCCTAGTAGCTGGGATTACAGGCGCCTGCCACCACACACGGGTACTTTTTTGTATTTTTAGTAAAGATGGGGTTTCTGTGTTGGCCAGGCTGGTCTCGAACTCCTGACTTCAGGCAACAGACCCGCCTCGGCCTCCTAAAGTGCTAGGATTACAGGCGTGAGCCACCGCGCCCGATCCTCTCCTTCTTATGAGACCCTAGTCTTACTGGATTGGAGCTCATCTAAAGGGCCTCATGTTAAGTTAATTACCTTTTCAAAGATTGAGTCTTCAAATGCAGTCAAATTCTGA